GAGGGTTTAATTACAACGCCGGATGGTTCGAAAACAAACGTATAATCAGCGGGATTTGAGCTGTCGCCGAATCCAGTATTGAATTGACCATAGATCACTGTTGCACCATAGCTTTCTTGACTGAGTGTTACACGTCCGCCGAGGAGATCTGCGTAGCCGACGACTTGGGCGCCTCGTTTATATTCCTCAAACGGAAGAGAGTGAATGTAAGAAACCGAGATTAGTAGAACGAGAATTGTAGCGAACAAGAACAAAAGAGGTGATTTTGGAGACATTTTATTTGATTAAATTGATTAAGAGTTTTGATTCTTTTGATTAATTCTTTGAAGGAATGATAAAAAATGCACGCTGCTCGATCTCTTTATATAGGTTTCAGAATCTCTACAAAGATAATAATCACATTTTCTATGTGATGTGTTTGTTTCTTGCTTACAATGCCACTCTAAGCCACCAATCGAATCAAAGCCTTGATAACAACATCAAAAGCCTTGCTTTGAGAAAATTAACGCTTTATAGTAAAAAAAAATGCGCTTTAGCTTCTTGCTTTGTGATTGTTTTTTGATTCTAGAAAAATTGTGTTTACATGTACATGTATATCGATATTGATGCAACCATTACACAGCCAGCAATTTACATGTACATGTATATATATACAAACAGCAAACAGAGATACAAATCGGACTTAAAATGTAATTCGAATTTAACATGGCTCCAATTCCGCATCCAGTCTGGTTCTAATTAGGTAAATCTTAGTTTCGTGTATTTTTCACCATTGATACTTTAACATCGATCCATGATTTATTCACCGTATTCACATCGTCACCAGTGCTATCTTTTAGACAATTAGACAACGTGAGAAAAATATTTGAGATAGAAATCTTACTTTATAACAGTTTGTCTAAAATAGTGGGTTTTTAGATCAATTAGATAAAATTTCGAATGCTTTATTATTTTCTTCTTTCATATTTTAAACGACAGTACTAGAGATCCAGCCCAATCAAATTACTGTGCAAAAAAAAATTACACCATCATAACATCAAATTTTGTACATACATACAAAAATCAATACACACATAGAATTATAACTGGATTCACCCGGGTTAATAAAACTATGCTAATCCGGTTTATATACGCTAGTATTTTAAATTCCAAATGTCATTAATAGTTTAAAATAATTCTTAATAAATTTATATCGATATGTTAATTTTATAGCATTCATTTGCCGACGTTATATTTCATCCAGATTTGTTGCAATTAAGGATGCCTGCCGAAAACCCTCCAGAAATATTTCGGCAGAGTTTCAGCAGGTTACACACTAATTGTTAATTAGAGTTCAGCAGAATTTCGGTTTAAAAACTCGGCAGAGTTTCGGCATCCTATTTACCAATAGATTATTATAATTTTGGCAGAGTTTCGGCGACTACTAAGGGACTTCGGCAAGCATCTTTAGTTGCAATTCGGGTGAATTTTGCTTAGCAAAATTTAACCTGACTTCACCGGATACCCGATTTCAAAGGACAGGTGAAGTTTTTAGACACAGTTCCAATCCCTAGTTAATACATGTATAGATATACAGTGGCTCACACATGTAACCGAACACGAAAATTAACTTTCTAGCATTTTTATTTCCATGACTATTAGTT